ACCATTTCTCGCTATACATGCGTGTGTCATGCACTGTCATCTTTGTGCAGTGGCCATGCTAATCTTCTTTGAATTTCTTTCTCTTCATCGTTCCAATTTTAACGGATGTCCTGAACCATCGGAACCTCGAATCTTTATGAAACAGTGAATCTGATGCTTAATGCACACACATACAAGAAGCCCTGTGCACGCGAATCCACATGCATGCACAAAACCATGTGCAAGGTGCTGTAAATCAGCGAGAAGAAAAAAGGCAGCTAAATTTCCTAAAATGAAATATTGTAATCCAGCCTCTGTACAGAATTCAAAATTCCATTTTGAAACTTTTAGTGCAGTGAAGTCAAATTCTCAGACAAGCCATTTGTCAACACAGAGGGATAAATGAACACGAGAGAAATACAACCAATCAATCAGCAGAGCTGTAATTGACTTGGCCGCTGATCGGAGCAGAATCATCGGCACGGTTGTTGGTTACCTCATGGCCATAGCTGCTGTACCGATTGTGCTCTTGGAGACCCATCACCTGTATTGCATTGAATCCCTGCTCCTTGACATGTGGCAAGACCTTCACCAATGAAGACAAAAAAAAAAAGAAAAAAAGCACGCAGATTGCAAGTAGTGCAGCGTCACGACATTACTTTGCACAAAATGTTCTGAATCAAAACTTCAAAAGCCATCCCCGTTTCAGAATTAGAACATTGCGAAAAAACAAAAACAAAAACGGAAGTCACATTTTGGCCTGCCGTTTCGATTTGCCTTCATCAACCAATCTTGTGCCAGTTGGTGTCAATCAATCATTCCCTCTCTCTCTGAAAGGATTTCGTCAATTTTCATGCTGTGTCCACATCCTGAGTCCCGGTCCCAGAGTCCCATTTGGTCCCCGTTCCAAGGGTCCCAGTTGATCCCCGTCCCAAGGGTCCTAGAGAGTCGTACGTTGGTAGAAGGCTGCCCCGGTGCCCGACAGAAAAGTCCCAAAGACCATTTTTGCAGCAGAATACTGGGAAAGTCCCCTGACTAATAGAACTGACAATTGCAGCCGACAGGACGAGGGGACCATTACTGGTCCAGAGCAGAAACTGACGACCAAGCTCTGCTGTAGCGCTTGCACGACCAACGGGTTGGAGAGTCGGAGGTTGACGAAGAAGAAGGAGGGCGATAGGAGCCATAGCCAGGGTTGAGCGGGAAGGAGAAGTCCACCATAGCCAAATAGGGTAGTGAGAGAGGCGAGTGTATTCAGGAAGTGAGAGTGAGCGATCCAACACCTGAGAGAGAGAGAGACAGCAAGCACGTGAGGTGGGACGCCAAAAGTATTGAAAGCATGTTGAAAGCACACACGCACACACAC